GCCCATCCTGTGGCGAGATGCAGGGCTGGGAGCGAAGAGGAGCACGGAGCAGAGCGCAGGGGGGTGGCAGTGCATAGATCCAGCAGACAGCACACGCCAGCAGCTTCTCCCATCCTTCACGCCCCCATGCAGCTAACGCATGAAACGAGAGCGTGTCTGAGCCTGGGTCCTGGCTCCCCCCCCGGCACAGACAATAGCGTCCTTGTGGCCGAGACGCCTGGTCCTGGGTGTGAACGTGGCGAGGGGCAGCCGAGCAGCTCTGCGTTTGCTTGGCCTCTGGCCCCCACCCAGGGCGATGACCAGGGGACACCCGGTTGCCCATGAGGGCACAGCTAAGGCCAGAATGATGCAGAGGCTGCGGTGGAAATTCAGGGTCTCAGTGCAAGGACTCATTCATTGGCGTTTGGTAAAAAAGGCACATCCAGGCTGGGCGGGGGTCCTGCTGCCTTGCGCTGCAGGTCTCCTCTCCCCTCCATACTGGGAAGGTTTAAGTCAAGGCTGCTTGAGCCAGGCTTGTGTAGCACCCAGAAAAGAACATACTCCAGCAGCAAACCCCAGGGAGACACTGGCAGCAGTAGCAAGCCTCCTGTCGAGGGTTTGCCAGGTCACAAAATAAACTGGGACTGGCCCATTTGGCAGAAGGAAGTTCGTTTCATAGCGTGACTCCCCACCGCTAACGTAGAAGACGAAGCATCCAGCAAGGCAGCCCCTCGGTCTGTCTCATTCCCACTGGCGTCAAGCTGAGCGTGTAATCCTGCGTGCGTCCCTGTTGCCGGGCACGCCGCCACGCAGGCGCGGGGGGTACCTGGCCCTGAGGCTTGCCGGCCGCTGCAGGACGCTCGTGTGTTCGCTGCTGAAACGCTGCCGCTGCCTCCCAAAATCTGGGTCGCATCATCACCACTGGCACAGGAGGCTGAAAAATAATCAGTTGCGGAGCCGAGCTGCTCTCGGTGTTCAGTTTCACTCGTGCTTAGGTGAAAGCTGACTTTATCTTCAAGTGCTGCAAGGGTGATGTCTGGCTTGCAGCAAAATCCTCATCCTCAGTGACTCTTCCTCCGGAGGAATGGGGCTCTGGCAGGTACTGTCCTGCTTCACGGCCGGGATGCCCTGCACAGAGGCTGCAACACACCTGCTGAGGAGCTGGGCGTGTGAACCGGCGCTCCCTGGTTATTAGTCCAGATACAGACCCACTTGACACCTTCACCTGCCAAAGTCCTTTCTCATTTTCTGTTCTATGTTTTTAAAGCTGAAAAGATTCGGCCGTAAGAAACGAAAGGAGCTGAGTTTCTCGTCACTGCTCACCATGGTTGTTCTGGGTCTCCAAGCCTGGACCCTCGGGTGCCCATGGGCTGGGG